TGGCTAGCTAGAGTCAATTCCTTCGATTGATTACACCGTACTTTGTGATGAAATATCAAAACAATAAATCCACAAATACTGAACCTGATCATTTCCATCACTCAACCCAAGAATTCACTTTATTTCAATAATAATCAGCATTTTGACAGTATTTATTTTAGCAGTCCCCTCATCTGTATTAAATATCTTTGGCCTATAAAATGTTGTGATGTAATCTGAAAATGAAATAACATAATATGGGCCCTTTAAAAACTGCCCTATAGAGAATATCCAAGATTCCGATCTACTAGAAGTGACTGAAATTGCTTGATGTGGCTAAATCTAGGATGTGTTATTCCCTGACCGACTTCCACTCAAATATTTCACTCCAAATTGGGGCAGACAGAACAGCAGAGCAGGGCCTCTTGGGAAATCAGCTGTGTGTGTATTCAGATAGTACAAATACTCAGAGTCTGTGGGCAGTCCCTTTGGCCCGAATGAAAAGAAGAGCTCCGAAAATCATACGTCAGCAGCTGGATCACAGTCTAATATTTCGAGGAATAGGTTGCTTCGCCTCCCAGAACTGAATAATTGGATCGTAATATCAGATAAAGGGCAGGGGGATGTATAACTCTATGGGACACGCACTGTTTTTGAACTTATGATTCATAAATGTTTAACCCTATAATTATTGTTAGGGATTGGCTCCACATACTTGCTATATTAAAGGGCTCATATTATGCTACTTTCTGATCTGTTATCATGTTGTTTTCTCATCACAAACATGCCTGGAGTTGTGTTTTGTTTCAATCACACATGTTTAACACCCAAATCCTGCATATTTAATTCTTTTCTCAAACAGAAATCACTCTGTTCCACCTTGTGATGTCATGTGGCACGCAGGAAGTGCTCCACTGTGTTTTCAGCTCCATACATCCTCACTAGAATCATTTGGATGATTTCAGACCTGGAATTGCCCATCTCTACAGAACTAAAGGTAAAATGTAATTGTTAAGTTGAAAACTACCACTAAATGATTGTCATGGTTCATGTTTTGTAGTCATTGTTTTTGCTTATTTTGGTTTATCATATTCTTTTAATTTTGTGTGCCCTTGGTGTTTTATTTTGACATATACCTGTGTCCGTGTGCATATATACCCTGTGTTTTGCTCTGCCCTTTGTTGGTCCATTGTCATTGTCAGTGTCAGTGTCTTGTCTTGTCATGGCAGTTTAGTTTCGATCTTTGGATTTTTGGATTTATGGATTTTTTTTTTGTTTTTTGTTTGTTATTAAAGATTTGCAGTCCTCCCTCTGTTTCTACGAGACAATGACATCACAAGCTGGAATGGAGCACTTTGAGCTTTGGAGATGAAGAAAAACAAATTATTCAACAACATGTGTGAATAAAACAAAACATAACTCCAGGTATGTTTCTGAGGAGGTAACAACATTCTAACATGGCCTAAAGCTCACAAGAGTCAATTCTGCAGCAATTACAGAGACATTAACCACAAACCACATCAACAAATCTGCATTCTGACAGTTAAACCACCAAGAATTCAGACCTGCAGACTATATAACTGTTTAAAAAGTGCCACGTGAACATAACCTTTTGTTTATTGTGAAAATAAAAATGAGTGAAGACTAGTGTTATGTTGTGATGTGCTTTCATCAGCCCCACATCTGTAGTGGTCTGTCTGCTCCCCCTCTCTCTGCAGTGCATGATGGGAGTTTTCACGAGCTGGGTCTGTTTGTTCTGAGCCTTTTAAGTTCTCTTTTCAGTTTCAGACATAATTAGCGGTAAATGACTGTGTTTTAGTGGCGGACTCTGTCTCTGTTTAAAAGTGCATCTTGTCAATGGGCTGAGATAAGAAATGAGCATTTTTCTCCAAATTGGTCTGCACAGAATTTGACTAAATAATAAGTCAATAGTTCTCAAACTTTTTCACACTAAGTACCACCTTAGAATGGATTTTTACAACACTCACAACAGTGTAATTTCCCTTGTGGGTCAAGAAGCCAAAAATCAGGTAAACCAAGTCTAAAAAGTAACTTTTCTAGTGTTGGGTCCACTATTGAGATAAAATTGCTTTGCCTCAAATGTTCCACAGTGATCAATTAACCTTATCTATATCCATGGAGACAAGCGGGAAATAAGAGCAGGCTGGGTTACCGCTCAGATCAGTGGAGACATGAGCCTGTTCAGAGTAGCAGTTTTTTCAACAACAACGACAAAGACGCCACTAATTAAATAAATGCAATATAGATATTACATTATTTTCTGATCTATGTTATAATGTTGTTTACTCCTCAAAAACACACATGGAGTTGTGTTTTGTTTCATTTACACATGTTTTACAGATAAACCCTGCATGTTAAGGCTGAGCTCTCTCTACACCAGACATGTCAGACTCAGGCCTGGGGGCTATATTTGGCCCGTGATATAATTATATTTGGCCCGCGAGATCATATCAAATATGTATTAGAGCTGCCCGCAGGCTACAGATAGACTATAGAGACATTATTTATTTAAAGCTTTGTTATTATTTTGTATTATACTTGTTCTGGATTCAATGTTTAAGCAAAACTATTATTAAACATTTATTTTAATAAGAAAAGGTTTAACATTACATATCTCGAAAGAAGAGAAAACATGCAGATTTTTAAATAAATATTTACTTTGGCCCACGACTTAGTCCCAGTTTTTAATTTTGGTTCTCTGTGAATTTGAGTTTGACACCCTGGTCTATATTCTGTTCCACTTTGTGATGTCATGTGGTAATACAGGAAGTGTTCCACTGCGTTTTTAAACTCCACAAAACTTCACTTCATTTTGAGCTTTGGAGTTGTGTGAATGTGTGAACTCCAGGTCTGTTTTTGAGGAGGTAAGAGCATTATAACTTGCCTTAAAGCTTCCATTTTATGTAATAAAGGACCTTTAAGCCAAGACTAGACTGGTATGTGAACACAGTTTGAAAACCAATGAAAAATTTTGCACATCACATTGCATGAATCACTGTTACGGTTTAATAATTTAAATGCATTACAAATTCCTGCCACAGTTAAAAATACGGCAACACTACGGACCACATTACATCATTAACAGAAACTGAACGGCTACTTTTGATCTACTTCCAAGTTTTCAATGATTTATGATGTATTTATGGTTTCGGGGCTCTATTTACAATAAGGAAAACAACTTATCGCTTCCAGTGCATTCAAATATATAGCACCACTTATTACGATTCAAAAAAGACAGTGGATTAAGGCAGATTTTCCAGCCAAGTGGGCAAAACATTACTTTAATCTTGTCCTGATTTACACAGAGAAATGCACCCTCTCTCAGATACGATCAAGGCAGTTCTGTGAGCGGGGAAGATAACATGAAACAGATATTAAAGATAAAATCCTCTGTTTGTTTTCTGGGAACAGCCACATACAAAACGCACCCTGAATACTAAAGAGCTGTCAGAGTGTACGAAACAACACATGATGCTAGTTTACAAGGACATGTCTGTGGATGAGTAGCAACATCTATGACTGTTTCTTCTTCTACTGTTTCTTCATTGGACGACTTTTGATAGATAGTGACCACAATCGACTGGGAACACACTAAGAGAGCTGTAGCTTTGGAGATACTGTACCCTGACCCAATAAATAGCCATTACAAATTGGTCAAACACTAATAATAAAATACCAACATAGAGCGTTTCAAGATCCACCAAAGGGTTTTAAATTAGCATTATTAGTGGCACTGGCCTTTAACAATCACTAGTTTAAACCCACAAGGGGCAGTCATTCACAGGAAAGGTGAGTGAATGGACAGGGAGTCAACAACCTTTGGGTTATTAGACAAACCCTCTACCACTAAACAACTTCTGCTTTAAAAATGAAAAGTTTATTTAAGCTTTCATTTAATAACAAAGCAGCTAAGGGTCCCAAGCCTTGATAAATATATATGGGCATCTGTCATAAACGTCTTACTAACTGAAGAAAAAGTACTTCCTTTAGAGGAAAAATAAAATAAGATTATATTATCTATTATACTGACTCCATAACCTTGGTTTTAGCAGAGACTGAACAACCAGCCTATGAGTTATTAATCTTGAAAAAAAAGTTAAGCTTACCGTGCAAAACAAAAAAATAAAAAATAAAAGAAAAATAAAACAGAAGCCACAACGAAGTGAAATTATGGTATGTGACTTCAACAAGGGTGGAGAGTAGGGATGTAACAATAATCAAAATATTGTGATATAGTATCGTCAAGTTCTCACAATAATATCAGAATATCGAATTACAAGTCTCTTTGTTTAAATTAAAAGTTATTGTGCAGCAATAGCTAAAAAAAAAGACAGCGGGAACTACATAGACCATGATCCTTTGCTCCATTTCAGTGTAGACTACATGAAGAAATAACAGTTCTAAGCACTTTTAAGTCTTAGTTCTTTGGATTAAGTCTTGTCAAGGCATTTTAAGAGGAAAAAGTCAGATATTAACAGTTTTGTATCGCAATAAATACCGTACCATGAGATGTATATTGTGAAAATATCGTACTGAGAGCTTTGGATATTGTTACATCCCTTGTGGAGAGTATATTTCCAACAGGGTGTTGTAACTTTATTGTCTTTAATGTGTTATATTGTTGTAACTTTATTGTTTTTAATACATTATGTTGTTGTAACTTTATTTTGTTATTGTTATTGAAAATGTGGATTATCATTTGGTTTTAATATGAAGTGAAAGCAGCTAAAAAAGATACACTAGATGTGCCATAAATGTGTCCGAAATGTATTAATTTGGTAACCAGGATGTGTTTTATTGTGAACTGGACAGGATGCACGGTGTATTTTAACCACCTTCTTACCACCAAACTAATAGAAACTGTGTTGCTGCTGTGTGTCGTTGCTGCTGTGTTCAATAAAATGCCAACACTGATGTTCCAATGAAGAAATCCTCCTCAGTCATATTTAGAAGCCTTCACTATGTAATAGAGAGTATGTTGTCAGTATTGTATTTCTCACCTTTAAAAAAGACAAACTTCCCGTCGCTGTTCTCGTACACAGCATCGATCTTTGGAGGCAGGCCTCTCCAGAACACACTGATGAGCATGGGGTACCCGGGCATCACCATCTTGTCCCTCACACGCCAAAACCAGTGGTCCTGAAAACACAAGACTGGGGTGAGATACCAGGCTCATCAACTACAATAAACACATTTTATTAGAAGGAAATCAAGAAAACGTCATTGCAAAGGTAATCCACTGTAATAGAAATAATTACTACTAATCTCAGTCAACCAAGTGATCATAAGGCACTGTAGTGAATGGAAAATGTTACTTTTCAGCATTACAGTCAGCTAAGCAAGCAAATACAATAAATCCTTTGTTATATTGACTTCTCAAAAGTTTTTGCCTAATACTCTTGTGATTCCAAAAGAGTAAATTAACCAAAAACTATCTGACAAGCTCAATCTACAAAAACTGTAAATGGAATGGAAAAAAAAAACCAAAACAAAACAAAAAATCTCATAAATGAATGGTGCATTGTCTTGAACTCAAACCATTTGTTATTAATATAATGGAACAAAACAAATTTACTAAAGCTTATGTAATCTTAAAGTTTCTATATTGCACAACACTGATTATTTGAGCTTTGTTTTCACATGTTTGAGGAATCCAGCATTAGTCTGTCTACATCTCCAAAGTTCAAAACGCTCTGCTCCACCTTGTGATGTGGACCAGAGTGTTTTCAGTTTGAGAGAAGAACTTAGCCTACATCTGTGTGTTAAACATGTGTGAACAAAACAAAACACAACTCCAGGTATATTTTTGGTAAGTAAACAAGATTATATCAGATCAAAAATAGTGCAATATGGGCCCTTTAAGTGTATTTTTATAGACAAAACTGTCTTTAACTACCACTGACCCTGGAGTCTTCAAACCAACCTCTTGTTTTCGTTTTTACAGAACATCTCCTGGAGCTTTCACACTGTAACCTCATCTACACTTTCCAGGTCACCTTTACACAGAACATGTAGTAAAAATATGACAAAGGTGAAGCTACAATGTCCGGGAGCTTTACGATGCAGCTCATATCCACTGGTCCAGAAACGTGAGACTGTCCGAGTGTGAGGTGTGCAGTGTGTGTTTTTGATGTCGGGGATGAAACCTGAAGACAGACAGAGGCTATAGGGGGGAGAGCCAGCTGTGAAAGACATCAAAACCCACCCACCCTCCGGCTACAAGCAGACCATTGTGCCATAGTGAGTGTGTGCTGTGAGTGGTCCCAAAAATTTTTCAAATCAGAGCAAAAGAGGAAAGGCAACATACAGAGGTGGGTAGAGTAGTCATTCACATTCACTCCGTTACATTTACTTAAAGTGGCTTTACTCGATTCTGTAGTTGAGCAAAATGTGTTTGTTGTTTTTATATTGTATAAGCAGCTCTCAAGATAGAAATTAAACAGCTGTGTGCATCAAATTATAAAGCGTTTTATCCTCCAAGAATCAGGAAATGTGCTGTTAGCATGCTAGTTGTTAGGGGTGTAAGTGAGTAATAATTTGGAGCTCTGCAAATTGTTTAAAAGAAACTAATTGTGTTTCAATATTTTGAAGGCAGTGAAAATTAGGTACAGCACCTTTAAGTAACATGTTTTTTTATGTTTTGTTTTTACTTTTTCATTTATAACAGTGTACTTCTACTCCTACTTGAGTCATATTATTATTTTTTTATTAAAGTAACAGGATCCTTTACATGTGGACATTTGGATTTCTTTTCTCATTGTTGTGGTCTGTCCTTTTTCCAGATTTTGTGAATTATTTAAGTAAAGTTTTGTCCTTCTGATTACATGGCCTCATATTATAAATCAGATCTCACCGTCTTTTCTTTACTCGTATTTGAGTAATGATAGTAAGCAATTGAAGTAATAGTACTCTTATTTGCGATAGTTTCCCCACCTCTGGCAGCACAACATGAGAGCTTGCTAGATTCCCAGTGAAAGCTAAATAAACAGGCCATTTATCAAACAGTCTCTTCTGACCGGACCTAATCCAACTGTTTGTGTGGGACTCCCCTCTTCCTCACTCTTCCTCCTCTTGTTCCACTGCCAATACAACCTAACCGGCCTTTTCAATTGTGCAGTGCTTTCGGTGTAATTGAAAACAGTTCAAAGTCTGGTACAGGAAATCATTTAGAGCAACAGTGACCAAGTTTAAACAGGAAAACAGACTTTCCTGAAAATCTGAACCACAACTGCAATATATAATGTACAAAAAGAAGGAAAAAGCTCACTTATTCCATTTAATTGAAGAAGTAAACATTATAATAGTTTTTCGACCAATCTCTCCTGTCTATAAAAAATATACCAGTATATTCAAGATTCAATTTGCACCACTGCTCCTGATGAGGTGCCCCAGCGGGATTGAAGGATGGAGGTCAAATACAGAGGACAAACTTCGCTATGGGGATAAGTGTATCTTAAACTAACTTAAACCTTAATTTGAAAACACAGCAGCTAAGGGTCCCGAACATAAAACTGTAACTATCAATAACCGCTCACAGAAGAAAGATGATTGCTATATGACAATATTAAGAGGGAAAAAAAAGTTTGACAATAAATCAGCATACAATTTGGGAAACACAATATAATGTTGATTTGTTAATTCAATTAGAATTAATATGATCCTAAATCATTAGCTAGTCACTGACATTTTTTCATATCTTTAAAGAAGACAGCTATATAGTTATCATCTATGACACTCGTGGATCATTATGCCAAATTCTGGACATTTTAAATCTAAATCTAAAGTGACTTAATACAAGTAACCAGTCCACTGACTTCTGTGTTAGAAAAAAGCAGTGCCCAATGGGAGCTGACGTCGCCGCAAACGTCATCACAACAAAAAGCCTTGCAGCTGTTGGCTCCTCTGATGGATAGTGGCAGATCACACTTACGAATTGCAGATTTTTTTTTATTTGTATGTAAATAACTATGTGACGCTGCCGAATCCTATGCGTAACACTAATTAAGAAAATAAAATTGGAGAACAAAATAAGCACAGAGGAGAGGGTATATGCCAGTGTACACGTGGGCTGATCAGCAAAAGAGAGTCTTGAAAATAAGCGATTAAAGACTGCTCAAACATCCACAAATACAACTTTGGGTGAGTGAATTGTAAGGGGAAACAACTATAAAATGGCTAAAAGCTCTGAAAAGTTGATTTTACAGAATAGACCTGCTTTAAAAACCTAAAAGATGCCCTTTCACCCATCTCCCATTGAAACGGAGCTGAGACACTTTGCTATTACAGGACTGTCTGGAATCATCACAACAGCTCTGAGCGAGCAGAAGTTTGAAATATTATACCTCAAATTGGCTCTGTGCTTTGAGAGGAAAGTACTGTGCCAAGTTTGTCAAGCGTAACTGTCTCATACAACTACATTACCATATGTTCCCTATTGAAAAGATGTTTGACAGCTTGTGAAAATGTCTACATACACCCAGTGTTTTTCTTTTTTCTTTTTTTATTATTTATTTATTTTTTAAAAGAGAGAGAGGTATTTTCAATGTACACAGAAATTGGGCTCAAATTTGTTGATGTTGTTTGACACAAGCCGCGTTGCATAAGAGATGGCGTACTGCTGAGAAAACAGAAATCCAACACTTATATGAATAAATCACAAACAAGATTCATTAAAATTTTAATCAAACTGCCAATGTAAACATGTTTTTGTTGACTGGTGGTGCGCACTGTGTTGACTTACAGCTTGTGAGTTAAAAGTTATGCAATTATGAGCGCTATTATGTAATTTTTGATTTAAAGGTCCAATAATACACAAAAATGATTCTTGTGAGATTTAAGCCATGTTATAATGCTGTGAGTTGTGCTTTGTTTCATTCACATATGCTTGAGTAATGCTTTATTATCAATATGTCTGCATCTCCAAAGCTCAAAATGCTTTGCGATATCGTCACGGTATGAACCTCATAGTACAATATTTATTGCAATTAGGGATGTAACAATATCCAGGGGTACGATAACATACATCTCTACCTTTTACCTTTTGTTCAATAGAGATTTTATAGCTAAAAAATATAGAAACACAGGCATTCTAACTATTAGCGGGGTTGCCTTTCCACAGATCTGAACTATATCTTGGCCTGGATTGGCCTCCATAAAGACAGAAAGGTTTCATACCATACAGTGAAACATTCCAGACAATAACGTCTTCATGGAGAATGCAGATGGTAGATCCTTTAAGTACATTTGGGGAGTTTGTTATGGATTTTAAAAGCTAAGTATTGGTATCGACAAATATCATTTATCGGCCACAATAGTAGACCAAATATTAAATAACAGTATTGGCTCAAAAAATAAATTTAATCTGATCTTTGATACTTTTGAAAGCCCTAATAGATCCTTACACGCTCCACCGCCTCTGGCTATTCTCCTGTCCATGTATAGTCATTTTCCCTCCGAGCGCAGATATAGGAGACCATATGGCGCGTAAGTTCATATGAAGTTGAACAGGAGCTGGTGATATTAGGTTTATTGGTGACACTGGATCCAGATGGCGGTACCTGTGACCCCCGCTCGACCCTCTGCCTCCTCGAGTGGGGAGGAGAGAGAGTGATCGTAAAACAAAAGCCTAACAAGCATGACTCCAGACGCCTTTGTAGATTAGCCCTGGTCTCGTACAGTAGAACATAACTTTTACTGCCAGGTACTAAAATGTTTTATTGAGTGGTAAAAAAAGAGAACAATGGAAGCCGCTGGGAGAGTTACGTGCTTGATAAGTTTGGAAGAAGGTGGCAGTTTTAATTGTAGATACAGCTAATATTTCCAAAGATCATATTGAGGTCATGTTCATAATACATAATCAAAATGTTATGTTGGATGTTGGTAGTTGGATAATTGTTAGCAAGCAGAATTTGGTAGTAAAGTTGCATAAGAAAAGGGTCACCGAAATATATACCTTTTTTTCAGACTACAAGTTGCAGTTTTTTCATGGTTTGGGTGGTCCTGCGACTTATACTCCGGTGCGACTTATATATTAAAATTTTCACACTGACAACCGCGAGAGGTGCTCTAGGCTTGTGTGTCAGTATCTGCTACTCCTATTACTTATTCTGTACCTCTGTCACTTTGTCCTCTACTGCATA